TATGTAACAGAATCTCAAGGATGCTGGAGATAAAAAAAAGTCCTACCTAAAGACAAAGATTATTTTATTTCACATGTTTCCTAGAAAAATTTTGAGATATAATTTTTGAAATGCTGATGAGTTTTCTTATAATTTTATTTAAATAGTATACATAAAAATAGTATACATATAATTTATGAAACAATCTACCGAGTACCACATAATTACTTATGTACATATTATTGTGTATTTATTTGTTCTGCAGTTTTGTTTCAAGTGGGATAAGTTGCTCAGTATATTTTTGTTGTTAGAGGATGAATGGGATTAGGACAAGACAAAGAAAATTAGTTTACTAAAATAGAGGGCCTCTTAAGCTTGAAGAATATTTGCCCGTGAAGAGTGGGAATCCTTGTTTCTGTTTCACTTAAACAGCTATGAATTTAAGGAATAAAGTGAGTACATGTATGTGTTGAAGGGCATAAGACATTTCTCTGCTTATAGTTCCCCTGCAGTATTTGGTTTTTGCACTCAGAAATCAGAATGGCGGTTCATACTTACAGGCTGCCTACAGAGTTGCCATAGTAACGTGCTGTTGGTTTTAAGTGAGCATGCTCGGAAAGACAGGAAGGTTTAACAGAGGCTTGGCAGGTTGCCAATGGAGGTTTGCCAGATGCTTTGAAATGGGCTGTCTTTCTTTTCCTTTCATGTAATGTCTGATTTTTATGTGGAAGAGAATGTAAGTAGTGTTGTATAACCCTGCGGATGCTATGCCCTAAGAGAGAAAGCAGATATTTGCAAGTCAGACTGAAAAATGTCCAGACACTGTACTGATTAAGTAGAAGGGGAATCTAACCATTTTTCATTTGAAAGAAAATGCAGCATATAGGTAAGATTTTTTTTGGCATTTTCTACTTATCAATTTGATAGCCCAAAATGAGACTAATTAAGAATTTTAGGTATTGATGTGGCTGATGTGTAATAGTCGGAACCAAGTGCAATTGTTTCTTGTAAAAAAGACAGTAGAAATCTATTTTTAGAAAATTAGAGGATGAAGGCTATTTTTCTGAAAAATAAGATAGATTTTGAAATGATGATGATAATCAGACAGCTTGGCAAAATTCAGGATTGCAAGTCTGAGTATTAGATATGATTTTTATATCTTGTATTTGTAGATTATGTATTTTCAGGCCACATTTTCAGGGTGTGAACTGTTGCAGTCTGTGCTTTTTGCCTATATATATTTTTT